CCCATTGGATAAAATGTTCTCAATTCAGTTCCATTTCTCTGCAATAGTGAAGTAGTTACAGTCACAGTGGCCTCATCCAAATCAGAGGCTTTTAATGTTTTCCATAGGAATTGATGATATTGTCATAATCTCAAATCCCTTGCTACTAAGAATAGAAGTTCTAGTTTAGGGAAGTGATTCCATCCCCTTGATATATTAATGGAAAGGTTACTTTATTCCTTGCACTGATGGTTAAGGAAGAAAAGGACAGCCGGTTCAGAGATCATGTTTGGGATGCCATGCTCCTCACTTTGGAGAGGAGTTACAATTTGCTCCAAGTAGTATCTTATTTCAGTACAAAGAGGCTTTGCAAACAATAGTATGCCATAACATACACTTAGTGAGAATTTCTTGATAAGTATTTTGTTCCTAGTAAAATAATTTAGTGCATCTTCCCCTATTCACACTGCTTACTTTTTCAAACATTGTAATGAGGAGAAAATAAGAGCCATCGTGATGGCAATTCATGATTTTCTAAGAGCTCTATAAATTTTATCTTATTTATCATTGGTGTTTTGAAATAAAAGGCTTCCTTTGTGTTTATACGTTTACACAACAGAAGTAATTGTGATTTGGTGGAGGTAGAATCTGAAGACCTGGGGGAAATTCCACAGCTCGCCTACATTTTTAACCTCTCCTTTTCAGAATTGTGATAACTAAATGAGTTTGTTGATGTATGTAGCAATGGTCTAGTACAAAGCCTAGATATATCATTTGTCAAGCAATATACCTTATGTACTGACTATAAAAATGTTAGAAAAGTAGAATATCTATAAGGAAATTTTATCTGTCCAAATATACGCAAAGCTGAGTCTCTTCTTATGGGGTAATGCAGATGTTAGATATTAGAGTGTAAATCCAATTTTTTTTAACGTAGTCATATTTATCAATCTTTCTTCTTATGCCTTTGATTTTGTTGTAATTCGGGGAGAGGCTTTTCCAATTCTGAGATTCTTAAAAATTCTAATGGTTTCATTTTTCCTTTCATGGATTCATTGTCTGGAAATAAATGTTTGAAGTTTGAGGAATTTATGCTCTATTATAAAGTGTGAGGTTTTGATCCACCTTCTATTTCCAATTGGATATCCACTTATTGTAACCTTGTCATTGTGTAGATGGACAGGTTCTCCTTTATTTTAAGAAGAAATCATGATATGTCATTTTATTGAGTGCTAACAAAAAGTTCCCTTTGTTGTACTTAGATTTCACAGAGTTATAAAAAAGAACAAGCTCTGATACATAAAAATGGTATGTTGCATGAAGAAATAGCCATGCTAAAGATGGAAATTGCCACAATAAAATATCAGAATGAGGAAAAAGAAAAGAAATATATGAATGACATTAAAATTGTGGAAGCAGTGAATGAGAACCTTCAAATGACCATAGAACAGAATGTGGAAAAATTAACAGACACAGTATCTCAGTACAGTGACCAGCTTAATACTCTGGCATCTGAGAATGCCTTGCTAATTGCTAAACTGGAAAATGAAAAATGGGACAAGGAAAGCCTGCGAGCAGAACTTGAATCATGCTTTTCTAGACTGACTGCTGCAATACCTGATCTTGATCAAAGTGAGATGTTAAGAAGAGACGTCAAAATGTCTTTGCAGAGAGCAAAACACAAGTGCTTTTGCTTACCGAATGAAATAACTGTGTGTGTGTCTGATCTCATAGAAAACCGGGAGATTGTTGGTCAAAAATGTTCTAAGGCTGAAAGTAAAATCAATAGCCTGGAAAGTGAGTTCCATCACACAAGAAATGTTCTGGGAGAGAAGACTCTGGCTTTAGAATGTGTCCAAAGTGACCTATACCGAACAGAATGTCAAATGAAAAAGATGAAAGAAATGTATGAAAATGAACAATATCAAGTGATGAAATACACTGGACAACAGGAATATCTAGAGGAGAGAATATCTGAACTAGAAAGAGAAAATATGTTGCTTCAACAGCAACTGGCTTGTGCTCACAGCATAGCAGAGGATAAAGAGGAGACACTAATGAATATGCGAGAGCAATTCCAAGATACTGTGGAAAAACTTCTAGCTGAGAATGGAAAGCAAAATCTTCTGCTAGAAGACAGAATTAAGCAATTAATCAGTGAATGCAATCAGTTAAAAGAAAGACTATATCAAAATGAAAAAGGGAAACCAGAAGAAGTAAGTATCAAGAAAGATAAATATTTTTCAATGTTCCTGAAAGAAAATTTAAAGTAATCTTTGTTCATGGCTATATGTTGAATTTAATCAAATATAAAAATATCTAGATGATAAATATATTTCCAATAATACCTGTTTCCAGCTAATAAAAGTTAGAGCTGAGAAATCCTTTACTTTGAGTAAAGACATTGTGTCACCTATGAGATTTTAAGACGTTAAATTACAAATTGTCAATAGATGTAGATGAATATGAATAATGGAGACTTACACTGCTGAAGATACACTTTCAATATCTTTATGTTGGTACATTTTAAGACCACAGTGAAGCAGATAAGTGGAAATGTTCATACCTGAAATGAGTATTTTGTTCTTTTTTTTTTTTTATTTCAGCATGTTATGGGGGTACAGATGATTAGGTTATGTATGATGCCCTTACCCTCCCTCCCCGCGAAGTCCGAGCTTCAAGTGTGTCCATTCCCCCGGGGGTGCGCATCGCACTCATTGTTTGTGCATATGCTCGTCCCCCCCTCCTTCCTCCCCCTTCCCCCTGCCCAACATCCAATACATGTTATTCTTATATGTACACTTAAATGTTGATCAGCTAATACCAGTTTGATGGTGAGTACATGTGGTGCTTGTTTTTCCATTCTTGGGATACCTCGCTTAGTAGAATGTGTTCCAGCACTTTCCAGAAGTATATAAGAGGTGCTATATCACCATTGTTTCTTAAAGCTGAATAGTACTCCATGGCATACATATACCACAGTTTATTAATCCACTCATGTATTGATGGACACTTGGGTTGTTTCCACATCTTTGCAATTGTGAATTGTGCTGCTATGAACATTCGAGTGCAGGTGTCTTTTTCATAGAGCCACTTTTGCTCTTTTGGGTAGATGCCCAGTAATGGGGATTGCTGGGTCAAATGGTAGTTCTACTTGTATCTCTTTAAGGTATCTCCATATTGCTTTCCACAGAGGTTGCACTAGTTTGCAGGCCCACCAGCAGTGTATGAGTGTTCCTACCTCTCCGCATCCACGCCAACATTTATTGTTTTGGGTCTTTTTGATAAAGGCCAGTCTCACTGGAGATAGGTGATATCTCATTGTGGTTTTGATTTGCATTTATTTTGAAATTAAGACTCCATTAATGAATTCCATTGACAGTTAAGTCCAGGTTTTGGAGATGAACTGAAGTATTTTGTTATATCTCATAATATTTTCCTTAAGGTAGCTTTTTACATATTTTAGTTGATGTAATTTTATTTTAATTCATGTCAATATGGTTTAAATCTGAAAATATTTCAATCTCAAATTATGTATTGTTATGACCTCCCAATTCTTCAAAGAGGCATTTACTTTTTATGAAATCATACATTTTGATAAATGTGGTAAATATTAGTAAAAACATATTTGATTTAATCTTCCCACTGGTATTTATAATTACTTTGAATATTTTTACAAATAATGTGCTGCTGATTCTCAATTCAAGGCTGAATGACTGTCATTTGGATATAACTTTTTCCAATACAAAGATATAATTATAGCTGTCTGTGATTTGTTAGTATGATATTGAATCCTTGTTTTCAGACTAATGAGGGGTGGCAGGATTCACGTACAGCCTGAATGCAGTGAGTAGGTGAGGGAGTTCTAGGAGCTGATGTCAGGGAGGGAGGTGGAGGCCAGAATACCTTGAAGGTCATTGGAATTTTACTTTTGCTCTGTGATTGGAAGGATTTGAGCAGGCGACTGAATATGTGAGAAACTCTGAGGCTGTTTTAAGTTTCTAATAAAAAAGAGATGAATTTGAGAAATTACTCCCACCTCCTAGGCTGGTGTCTTGAAAAATACAACTCTTTCTCTGTTTTAAAAAAAGAGAGAGAGAGAGAGAGAGAGAGAAATTTTCCGCAGCACAGAATTTACCACCAGTCCCACCCACACACCCATTTCTTTTTTTTTTTTTAACTTCAGAATATTACGGAGGTATAAATTTTCTTTTTGAGACTCCATTAAGTTGCTAAGCATTGCACATTCATGACAGGACAAATGCATAGTGGGCTCAATCTGATGATCAAGTAACAGAATAAGAATTTGGCAGGAAGATAACACGTTTTGTGACCCTAACTGAATTCAGTCAACAACAACAATGTATACACATGAGGAAAAGAAGGTGAATTGATGTACGTGGTGATTTTTTGCAAAGTATATATGTTAGAGTTAAATATTCTTAAAATAATGTAATAATAAGGTGATTTATAAAATCAGTAACAAAAATATCTTATCAGGGACTTGTGAAACAACTTCAAGAACTGGCTGATTCCCTGAAAAAACCGTCAACCTCAGAGGCTTCACGGGAGGTTCCATCACGTCACATGAATTTAGAAAATGAGACACTGGATTCAAAGAAGGCATTGGACCAAATCAGAAATCATGTATGTATAAAATGTAACATGTCCATGGGTAATTGATAGTTGGTTAATTAACATAAAGTGTTCTAGGATACTAATTTAAATGGATAGCTTTCTTTTGCATTTTCATTATAATTAATTTTATTACAATCGTATTATCTTTATAATGCACTGATTTCCTAAACTCTGACTCTCATTATGCCATTTTTTCTAATGATGAACTTTTCTTCTTAGAACACTTTCCCTTAGGAGAATGTTATATCATTCCTCACAGAAGTTGAGAACCATTTTTCCCATTAAGCAGTATTTCTTTAGTGATTTTTCTATTGCTATCATGAGGCAAGCCAGATTATATCAGAGGATAATGTTTAATGGAATGTTGCAGAAAATTTTCTTGTTTCTTGTCTTCAATTTTGAGAATGGATATACAGAATCTGTATATATTTATTTCATGGATTTCAGTATAACTTGTACTGTTATACTGTTCTCCAAAATACAAGTGCTTTATGTTAACTTACAAACTATTTGAAAAGTTAGGCATTTCCTTTATTTTCCCTTCATTTCAAATGTATTACAAAAGCATAGAAAGTAAAGAATGAATTTATATCTTTTGCAGCAATATGGATGGAACTGTAGGCTGTTATCTTAAATGAAATAACAGAAACAGAAAGTCAAATACCACATGTTCTCACTTGTAAGTGGGAACTAAAGAACATGTACATAGAAACATGGAGAACGGAACAATAGCTATTGTAGACTCAGAAGGGTGGGAGGGTGGGAGGGGCATGAGGACTAAAAAGTTACTTAATGAGTACAATGAACACTGCTTGGGTGACTGCGCCACTACACAATACATTGATATAACAAAACTACACTTGTACCCCCTTAATGTATAAAATTAAAAAAAATAAAAGCCATAGCAATATTTAGATATGGATGGTATGCACATCCAAAATTAAGAATTAAGACAATTATGTATATCCTACTATTGGATTTTTAAAAACAACCTTTTTTTGAGATATAATTCACATACCATGTATTTCACCCATTTAAAGGGTATGATTCTCTCTTAGTATATCCAGAGTTGTGCAACCATCACCACAATCCATTTATAACATTTTCATTGCCATGAAAAGAAGCCTCATACCCCTTTGCCATCACTGCCCTGCTCCATGTCCCTCTACCTGCCCCTTCCTAGGCAACCACCACTTCTTGTCTGCATAGATTTGCCTATTCTGGACATTTCATAAACATAGTCATAAAATACAGAATACTTTTTGACTAGCTTCTTTCACTTAGCATAATGTTTCAAGAATAAATCCATGCTGTAGCATGTATCAATACTTTGTTTCTTTATTTTGTTGGTTAATATTCTACTGTATGGCTATACCAGTTACGCATGCATTAGGTGGTAGATGTTTATGTTGCTTCTACTTTTTGACTATTATGAGTAACGCAGCTGTGGACATTCATCTCCCAGTTATGGTGTGGACACACTTCATTACTGCCCTGCTGTTGGGTTTTATCCTCACAGTTAACTGGGCTGATTTCACCATCTCTCTGTCTTACTCATGCTGTCCTTTCTGCCTTTTCAGTTTCCGTAATCTGGCCTCATATATTCAGACCTGGCTCACAATTTTCTCTTCTTCACGAAGCTTTCTCTCCCTGACCTTATGCTTCTGCACCTGTCTAGTCTGTGCAGAATAATTTAGCCTTTAATTTTCCACTGCTTTTATTTCCTCTCACACTCTCCTGGCCACTCCCTAAGTTAGATTTGGGGTTTGGGAAGGTCAAGGTGCTCTCCTGTGGCCTGAATTATATGACTCCCCAGTGGGAGTGTGGACCACGGGAAGAAACTCGGTCACCTTCTTCTGCATTGTGGATTCACTCCCAGTTTTTAGCTCCTCCTGGCCCTGTGGGCTGCTTATTTTCCTCGTGCTTCCCAGAATTTTGAGCTTCCTTTCACTTTTCTGTTGAAGAACTTCTGTGTTCCTTCTCACATAATACAATCAAAGTGTGATTGTTCACACAGTTTTGGTTCTTCTATGTGGACAAGTTGTGCTGGAAATGCTTCTAGTCAGCCTTCTTGGAAAAATGTATCAGTGTGCAATGTCTTATTGCTGAGTAATATTTCATTGCATGGATAATCCAAACATTTTATTGATTCATTCATCACTTGGTGGACTTGTGGGTTATTTCTATTTTTGGCTATTATTAATAATGCTGCTGTGAACTTTCATGTACAATTTTTGTGTTTGCATATCTTTTCATTTCTCTTAGGTGTATATTTATGAGTCAAATTGCTGGGTCATACGAAAACTCTATTCTTAACATTTTGGGATCTGCCAGTCTGTTTTCCAAAGTGGCTGTGCCATTTTACATTCCCACTTGCGTTGTATGAGGGCTCTAATTTCTCCATATCCTTGCTAATACTTATATGCCATCTTTTTGATTGAAAAAAGATTCCATCCCAGTGGTGTGAAATGGTACCCTCATTGTGGTTTTGATTAGCATTTTGCTAATGATTAACAACTCTAAGTACCTTTGGATGTCTTTTTTAGCCATCTATATGTCTTGTCTGAAGAAATGTCTATTTTAACCCTTTGCCCATTTTTTAAATTAGGTTTTCTTTTTAATTCTGAATTCTAAG